AGGGAGAAGACCGACCTGCACATCGTCTGGCTCGACCTCGCCAACGCGTATGGATCAGTCCCACATCAGCTGATCAGCTACGCTCTGGATTTCTTCCATATGCCCCTCTGCATCAGGAACTTGGTAGCACTGTACTTCAGTGACCTGCAGATGTGTCTCGCCCTCCAGGACTTCACTACTGGGTGGCAACAACTACAGGTGGGAATTGCTATGGGATGTGCCATTTCACCAATTCTGTTTGTCGCAGCCTTTGAGATCATTCTCATAGGGGCAAGGCAGATGGTGGGAGGGATCAAACTTCCATCTGGCCAGAGGCTTCCTCCACTGAGAAGCTACATGGACGATGTCACTAGTCTCCTCCAAACAGCAGCATGTACATCTAGGCTGCTAAAAAGGTTTGACGAGTTGATGTCATGGGCCAGAATGAAGGTCAAGCCCGCCAAATCCCGTAGTTTGTCACTCAGAAGGGGAGTCATAAACAACAGCACCACCTTTGTCGACAGGGGAGAGAAAATCCCTCTTCTGTCTGAACAACCTATCAGAAGTTTGGGGAGGGAGTATTCTGCAGAGCTCTCTGATAAACAGATGGGGAGGACCGTCATGAAACAGCTTTCAGACGGCCTGGCAAGGATCGACCAAAGCGAGCTCCCTGGGAAATACAAGGTTTGGTGCTACCAATTCACACTCTATAGGAGACTGATGTGGCCCCTGAAGATGAGTGAGATCCCCTCATCCACCGTGAGGAAGATGGATGGAAAAGCCAACGCCTCCATCAGAAAGTGGTTGGGGCTACCACGGTGCCTCTCTGACTCTGGCCTCTTTGGGAGGAACGCGCTGCAACTGCCACTGCAGTCCTTAAGTGTGGGCTACATGCAAGAGAAGGCCAGGCTGGTTCTTGAGCTGAGTCAGTCCACCGACGAGTCTGTAAAGAATGCAAATGCCAAGGTTCCCACTGGCCGAAAGTGGAACGCAGAAGCCGAAGTGGGCCATGCGGTTAGCAGGTTGCAGCATCGAGAGATCGTGGGCAGAGTCCAGGCAGGAAGAGCAGGTCTAGGGTGGGGAGAGGCACCACGGTTTTGGTCAAAGGCCACTCGCAAGAAGAGAAAGGAGATGGTGGTGGCAGAAGTGACGAGGATGGAGGAAGAGCGCTATAAGATCAAGGCCGTCTCACAGGGCCGGCAAGGAAGATGGACAACTTGGGAGGGAGTTGTCGACCGCAACATCAGTTGGTCTGACCTGTGAAAGATCCCGCAGGCGAGGCTCAGCTTCCTTATCCGTTCAACCTATGACACGCTTCCCTGTCCTCGTAACCTGCACCAATGGTTTGGCAATGAGGAATGCTGCTCACTCTGTAACGCTCCCAACGCAAGCCTTCAACACATCTTGTCAGGCTGCAAGACTGCGCTCTCCCAGGGACGCTACAGGTGGCGCCATGACCAGGTCCTCAGGAAGCTCGCCGAGGTCCTGGAAAGGTGCAGACAGGGTAACAAACAGCTACCACCAGCAAAGAGCCACACCAACTTTGTCAGGGAAGGGGACGGGCAAAGTTACACCAGGCCAAGAGAGACATCGTGGCCCTTTGCCCCCAACCAGGAGTGGGACATGAGGGTTGACCTTAACAAACAGCTCCAATTCCCCACGGAGATCACCATCACATCTCTCCTTGTCACTGCTCCGCCACCATGAGACGTTCCAGGATTAAAGGGGCGAAACGTTGGTGATTGGTGGTTCCTGGCTGATGACCCTGCAGCTGACCCTGCAGCTGACGCATGGGCACCGGAAGAGGTGCGACAGGCAGCAATGCTAAGCAGGAAATTACATCCACCTGTATACATCAAATGTGTGTGTGTGTGTATGTATGTATGTATGTATGTATGTATGTATGTATGTATGTATGTATGTATGTATGTATGTATGTATGTATGTATGTATGTATGTATGTATGTATGTATGTATGTATGTATGTATGTATGTATGTATGTATGTATGTATGTATGTATGTATGTATGTATGTATGTATGTATGTGTGTGTATGTACGTGTGTGTGTATACATGTGTATGTGTATGTATGTACATGTGTATGTATGTACGTGTGTGTGTATGTGTATGTATGTATGTGTGTGTATGTATGTATGTGTGTGTATGTGTGTGTATGTATGTGTATGTATGTATGTGTGTGTATGTATGTGTATGTACGTGTGTGTATATATGTGTATGTGTATGTATGTATGTATGTATGTATGTATGTGTGTGTGTGTATGTGTGCACTTGTTTTCAACTCCTGGTGGGTTCCATAACCTGAGATTCCACTCACGTCATGGGGACTGGTTTTACGTGGTGGGGCCCGAACACCGGACCCCACTGGTCAAAGCTTAATAATCAATGGGTAATGCTTTTCTAACGGTCCTTATGCAGTCTCTGTAAAAATATGGAAAGGACCCCTGGAGGTTTACTTTCCTGAAAAAAGTGTGTTATGTGTCGGAACCCTGGTGGTGGGTTGCGGGATATCAAGGAGGGGCACACTGGGGCAATTTCAGTCCAGCAGGCTGGAGCCAATCATGGAGCAGCACAACAGAGGAAATCAGGTGTCAGGCTAGAAAAAGGTGCAAGTGTGTGGTTCATTAGGCTGCAAGAAATCATGGAGGAGCACACTGAAGCGCACGCTTACAAACCACTGGTAAGTGCTGACTACAAGTCATGACTTCAAATTGTTATATAGAATGATTACAAATTATTTGTTGTTTGTGCAGCTTAGTCAAGAGTCCCTAATTGATGAAGTCGACTCAGATTCTGACGATTTAACTGTCAAGAAGAAACCTGTAAAAAAGTATGGAAAAAGAAAAATCAAAAACACTTTTCTTCAAGACTCGGAAAGTGACGAACCAAAGGCAAATAAGATTGTTATCATGCAGCTGCAAAAGAAGAAAAATGGGGGGCGAGTATACAGCAAGAGACACTTCTGCCTCTACTGTTCAATGTCCTGCCACAAAATGTCCCGTCATTTGACTAGAAAACATGGAAATGAAAGTGACGTAGCCAGAGCATTGGCTCTAGCTGTGAAATCTAAAGCACGTAAACTTCAGTTTGATTTGATCAGGAATAGTGGAAACCGTGAGCACAATTTTGAGGTTTTAAAGGCCGGCATTGGAACTTTAGTCCCAGCTAAACAGCCAAATTCCCCAGTTAAATCCAGTGAGTTTTTGCACTGTATAGACTGTGGGGCATTGCTTAAGCGAAAGTGGCTGTGGAGGCATGTGGCCAGGTGCCGGCTTTCACAGAAAGATGCCCAGGCTAAACCAGGTAGAAGTAGGGTCCAGTCCCTCTGCTCCCTAGCCCAGCCTGTACCGGAGGGCATCAGCAAAAAGCTGTGGTCTTTAATTTCGGCAATGCATCAGGATGAGGTCACGGGTGTTGTCAAAGCAGAAAAGGGGATTCTGAGACTCGGAGAGCACCTGTACTTAAAACACGGGCATGATAAGACTAAGCATGATTACATTAGGCAGAAAATGAGAGAAGTCGGTAGGTTAATTAACGAAGCAAAAACCGCAGGGAAACTGAAAACAATTAAGGATTTCTTTATTCCTTCCAACTTTAACCATGTGATTGATGCAGTCAGGTCTGTGGCTGGATATGATGAGGAAACAAATCAATACAAGACTCCATCCTTGGCCCTCAAACTCGGCCATAGCCTCAGAAAGCTAGCAGATATTCTTGAATGTGACTCAAAAATGGAGCATTGTGTTGATGAACTATTTATTAAAAACCTCCAACGAAGCCGGCTGCTTTTTGAGAAGAGGTGGGACGTCTGTGTTTCTTCTGCTGCCCTACAGACCCTCCGGCAAGCCAAGTGGA